TGTGTGTGTGTGAAGCCTTGACACAAACATGTCCATAAGTTTCTGCATCTGAAAACAAGGATATCCAGACCCTAGTATGTAGAACTGTTGAGAGTAGTGAGTGACGTAGCTGAAGGGCCTGGCACCTAGCAGGACAGACAGGGATGAGCAAACACTAGCCATCTCCCTGCCATTGCTGCATCATCACTTCCTGGACAGATTGGCATTGCGTTAGGTAAGCTGTTTTTGGCCATCAGGTACTGAGAGTGCCCACCCTATGTGGTACAAACAATGGAGCACTGTATTGTCTTACATGGGAAGGTCACACTTTCAGCAGTTGACTCCATGCAGCGCCGGGCTCTCTACGTGCCTCGGCTCCTCCTTCCTCCAGAGAGCTGAAGCCCAGTTCTGTTGCATGGTGCTTCGTGACTGCAAGGGGTGGGAGCCATTGGCAGCTGGAGCTCTGTGGTTCTTTGTCCTCCAGCACCTGCTGAGAGAGAAAAGCCACACCCTTATGCATAAAAGATAATGCCTCCCCTTCATTCTGGTCATACCAACCTTAAACACAAGGCCAGTGGGTCACAAGGAGGAGGAGGAGGGTGGCATGAACTGATTGTCGTGGATTCCTCAGAATCCAATCTGAGAGTCTAATTTTGAAGAACATTTCCCCCAAACTGTGAAACTTCAGAGATAGTGGCTGCTTAATTAAAATCTGAGTTCCCCTGGAAAAAAAGTAAAGAAGGATGGAGGCTGACTGGGACCCAGCAGTGTTCACCACAGCTACTGTTGTTCTTGGGAAATAGAGCAATGTCTCTTCATGAGGAGGAGGGGTCCCAACACACTGTACTGTGCTGCTGTGGTGGGAAATAGATTGACAAAAATAAAAAGTGAAGCAAGGATACGTATTTATATGCATATTTTAAATATTTCCAGCTAAGATTTGTGAAAGGATTGCTTTGTGCCTCCAAAGCAAAGCCCTGTTGTACAACTACTTACAGCCTTCGCAATATCATTCTTCATTTTATTAGCAAATGTTGATATCTACCTATGCTTATTCCTTTTCTTCAACTTGACACAAAGTACAGGTATCAGGGAAGAGGGAACCTCATTTGAGGAATTGTCTCCATCAGATTGCCCTGTAGACACATGCCTGTGGGGCATTTTCTCAATTGCTAATAGCTGTGGGAGGGCCCAGCCCACTGTGAATGGTGCCACCCCTGGATATATGGGCTTGGATTGTAAAAACAAACAAGCAAACAAACAAATAAACAAACAGCTGAGCAAGCCAGAAAGCAGCACTCTTCTGAGGCCTCTGCTTCAGGTCCTGTCTCCAGGTTCCTGCCATGAGTTCCTGCCCTGACTTCCCTCAATGAAGAACTGTGATTTGGATGCATTAACCAAATAAACCCTTTCCTCCCCACATTGGTTTTGGTCGGCATTTTGTTGCAGCACTCATGAAGCAAACCAGCACACTACCATTCTTCAGCCTCTGTCTCATTACTGGGAAGTCAGCAACAGTAAAATAACTCAAGACCCCTTGTCCTTGTGGAACCTGTTCTCTAGTTAAGACACTGAGGCTAACGGGATCGATGAAGCTGTGGGGGAGGGTTTGAGCTTAGATATGGCAGAACTGAGATTTGGATACTGAGAATCCAGCTCTGAAGCCAAGAATGGGTCATAACAGGAAGTCACGACTGTGAGATGCTCACCCAATCACAGGCTCCTTTCTTTCTGAAAGCCACCATATGGTAGGGAGCAGGTTCACAAGCACCTGGATGAGGCATTGCCCAAGGGCCAGATACTGTCTTCACAGCCAGCTCACTCATGAGAGCTCTAGGGAGGGTGGAGGACGGAGAACAAGACTTGGGAGGTTCATGCAAGCCAAGGGTGTGTCAGGCCAACTCTATGAGTGCAAGGGCCGGGGAAAGACTCATAGGAACCTGTCTTTCCTCCTCCTCTTCCAGCTGCTATTTAGTAACTTATACTCATGTTGCCTACTGCTGGATTCCGGGAGGGATGCTAGTGTGGCTACTCCATCATACTAGAAGCCTTCCAGACTTCTGAGCAGGAATCTACACAAACCGAAAACGAATGCACATTCAGCAGGTGGGTCTCTCAAAGTATGATTTTCTTACATCGCATTTAAAGCTTTAATACCCAGCTTAAGCTATTTTAGTTTTAAATTGCACCACATAAACTCATACTTGAAAAGATAATTTGCTTTACTGTTCCCCCAGGCACAGGAAGATGATTGACTTCAAATATATCTTCTCATTGGAACTATTTGTTTAGTCCAGCTTTTTTTTTTTTTTTTTTTTTTTAAGACATGAGGTCTCATTATATTACCCAATCTGGCCTCTAACCCCAGGGTTCTAGCATCTTGCCCCCTGAGTAGCTGGGACTCTATGCAACTGCCACTTTGTCCAGCTAAGTTCGTTTCTTTTGAACAAAGTTTGAAGTTTGACCCTTACCCACCACGTGCGGCACTATGCTAGTGTTAGGTCTGCCCCTCAGAAGAGATGCTGAAATGAATTCTCGTCAGAATGGTCTCAGAGATCTGTCTTCCTGGGAGATGCTAGCAGGGAAGCAGAGGACAGTATGCAGGGCAGAGCAGGGGGAAGGAGGCACTAGAAGCGGAGTTCTCGGGCTATGGGGAAACGTACTGTGGGACAAAGTCAGCCATCTTCAGCCGGCCTCTAAGTGAGGAGCAAAGCTCCCGGCTGCTAATGCCACAGGAAGTTGGGTTTCTTTTTTGAGCAGCAGAAGTTTATCCTAACTGGCTCTCAAAGCCAGGAGGAAAGGATTGGCCTAGAGAAGACACAGCACACTTCAACAGCACCAGATTTAGTAGCAAAAGGAAGTCAAAAATTCAAGGCAAGCATGAATTATACTCACCTTCTTATGTACAGGGATAGAGGGCATGTAATACTTTTGTTATAGACATGCTTGGTTGTTTGGGGGGAGTCTTCACCTATAGAAACTTGGACTTATTGGACCCAAGGTATCTTCTCCTCACCCCTGTTGACTTCAGGGCCAGCTAATACTGTCTGTGGTGTAGTCCTGATCAGTGTAGGATGTTTAGATGCATCAGTAGGCTCTACCAGATATAACAAAACATGTCTCTAGATAATTGCTGGAAAGCTTCTAAAGGGTAATTCTACTCCCAGGTGTAATCTGAGATTTTTATGACTCAAAATGCTATTTGAACACTTGTAATAATTGAGAAGATTTTGGGAGAAGTTGGTTAAAGGAAATGAACTTTGAGTTATACAAGGTATCTGCTGCCTAATAGGTACCTATGGTTAACAACAAACTATTGTGTTTTGTTTGTTTTTGTTGTTTTTGCTTTTGTTTATTGTTTTTTTTTGTTTTTGTTTTTATGGGTAGGGTCCCTTTTTTACCCAGGCTCACTTACCTGGACTCAAGTGACCTTCCTTCCTCCGCTTTCTGAGTAGTCACAGTGCCTGGTTACAAGGTACTGTTGTCACTGAGAGTGGGTTTGAGGTGTTCCCAATACCCAATACCATATTGAGGCACCACATGTAAATCAGTTCACTTAGCCATAACAAATACTTTTCAGTTGAACATATAATATATGACAAATATATATACTTTTATTGGCTTTATTTGACAATAGAATAAATAAATGAATTTTAGAATGACAAGAAATTAACAACAAGCTATTTCTCTCTGAACTGTGGTTCAGTTATCATAAAGAATATATGGCAACAAGGAAAAATAAATCCCACATCATTTCTTAATATCTACAAACTTTACAATTAATAAATTACATCAAAGTTTTAAGAAATCTGGGGGGTTCTTTTGGTCCTATATGTTCACCTCACTTTAAGTGAACATTGAAAGCCAAGTGTGGAATCACGAAAACAGAAAGATGATGAGGATGGAGACAGTGAGGAGGACACATCCTAGAACAAGCTGGGTAGCCTGGACTCGGTGGCTCCGGTAGGGCAATTCTCACTGTGATCCAGTCAGGTTCAGGACTGGGAATGGTGATGCTCATGGAAGACAGCTCGGAGGTTCTTTCTCCTTTAAAATGAAAATTAGCCTGTGATTCACTGCAAAAAATACTGAGTTACTATGGACCCTTGATGATTCATTCGGTCTATGAAAATATGACTTATATGCAAATTTGAGGGGAAACAGATCTATAGAAAGGGTCAAACTATTGTTTCCCTTCCAAAGGTCCTGTTGAAGAATATAATAATTTTAAGGTTAAAAAAATGGCATTGATACATTCACACACACACACATTCAAATTATACAAATTGTGCTAGTATTGATTCAAGGGCAGGACATCTTCTGGAGACATTTATTATCACATTCATGTATTCCTTAATGACTGACCTGGCCATAGCAAAGAATTTGCCAAGAAAAGTCCGGAAATGATTAGGTGAATTTGCAGAGGGGATGGCGAGAAGGAAAAGAAGGGAGGAGAGGAGGGAAGGAGAGAGAGAGAGAGAGAGAGAGAGAGAGAGAGAGAGAGAGAGAGAGAGAGAGAGTTAGTTTCCATGACTTCTAATAAAAGCATAGAGAGAATGTGAGAAACAAAAAGTAGTTTGCTCTGGCAAACAAAACCAACTGCTCTATAAATATTTCATAATTTCAGCCCCATAAGGTCTCATTGTCTGGTGGGTATCTTTATTATGAGTAATCATGGGTTGTTCTTTGTTCATTTCAGGCTTTTTCTGTCATTTGGTCTCTGAAGTAGCACCCACTAATTTCATTCCCATTTACCTCATCATGGTATAGAGAGAATATATGTAGTCAGCTAAGAGGCTGGATTCGTAACTGTACAATTTAAACATACAAAGTCCATTTTTAGAGGCAGAGCGTGGTGTGTGGAAACTAAAACCCGGGAGAATTGGGGTTTTACAAGGCTCTTTGCAAAAGAGAACAGCTCTTGTTGAAAATGTCCCTGCTTCCCAGGGAGGTTGAGAAGTCTCCGGTTTAAACCTGCTTTGCTCCCTCCTAAGTTCCAGCTGGAGTCTGTGGTAATTCTAGGAGGTGGGGTCTCTGGGAGGTGATGAAGTCATCAGTGTCCTTCTCAGGGAATGGAGGAATTGCTGCAGAATGGTCCATGGTAAAGCCAGGCTGTCCTTTTTGCCTTGTCTCTGGCTCACTCACCCTTTCTGCTCTCGTCTATGACTTGAAGTAGTTTAAGGTCTTCCAAAGCTGGGCGGTGGTGGCACACGACTTTAATCCCAGCACTCAGGAGGCAGAGGCAGGTGAATCTCAGTGAGTTCAAGACCAGCCTGGGTTACAAAGCAAGTTCCAGGAAAGGCGCAAAGCTACACAGAGAAACCCTGTCTCAAAAAACCAAAAAAAGATCTTCCAAAACCTTGGTACCATCTCTCTCTCTCTCTCTTCTCTCTCTCTCTTCTCTCTCTCTCTCTCTCTCTCTCTCTCTCTCTCTCTCTCTCTCTCTCTCTAGGAGAGTGCACATGTGTTGGCCTCAGTATCATTCCTCATAATGTGTTGATCTTATTATTTTTAGGCAAAGTCTCTCACTGGGAACTGGGATTTGCTGATTCATCTACGTTTGCTAGCCAAGAGCCCCTGGGATCCATGTCTCTGCCTCCTCATCCTTGAGACTCCATGCGTGCACCACCAGGCCTGGCTTTTTTAAGTGGGTTCTGGGGATTGAACCAAGGTCCTCATGCTTGTCAGACAAACACTTGACCGGATGAGCCATCCCGCCGGGCCCCAGACTATATTCTTAGACTTTCCAACCTCTGAAACGGTGAAATCAAACGATTTTCTTGTTTTTATAAGTTATCCCATTTCAGGTACTCTTGTATTGCAATGGAGACAGGTAGGTATGTAGTACAAATTGTTAGAAGGTCTTATTAATAAAAACAAATGTAGCTAGAGTTTTCCTGCCTTGCCCACAGTCAGGATAATTCTCTCTCACCCGCCAGTCCCACAGCCGCTCAGACCCAACCAACTAAACACAGAGACTTATTTTGCTTACAAACTGTATGTCTGTGGCAAGCTTCTTGCTAACTGTTCTTATATCTTAAATTAATCCATTTCCATAAATCTATACCTTGCCACGTGACTTGTGGCTTACCAGTATCTTCACATGCTGCTTGTCATGGTGGCAGCTGGCAGTGACTCTCACCCAGTCTTCCTGTTCCCTCCTTTCTCCTCTCGGTTAGTCCCACCTATACTTCTTGCCTAGCCACTGGCCAATCAGTGTTTTATTTATTGACCAATCACAGCAACAGATTTGACATACAGACCATCCCACAGCACTTCCCCTTTTCTTTTAAAAAGGAAGGTTTTAACTTTTACACATCTCCAAAGTCAACTTGGTATATTTGGGAATTTGGGCGTAGTTTCTCTTACTACTTCCTGCTAGAGAGGGCGCTGTATCTTATGGGGACACAAAGAAAATTTTAGAATTGTGGAGTAGTCTGTGAGGGTGTATCATCTGAGCCAGTTGCCTTGAAATGGTTCTGGATGTTGGATCATCTGGGCCATGGTGTCATCAGAGACCTTTCAGGGGGTCTTGGTTTGTCAAACCTGATGTATCTTAACCTGGAACAAATCCATAGCCTCTGGCTTTCTGTGGAAACAAAAGCAGAGCCTCCTTTCCAAAGCAACACATCCTTACATCTAAATTTTAAAGTCAAGGTACCTTTAAAATATACATTTTGGCATAACTCAACAGCTTTTGCAATCAAATGTTTTTTTTCAGTTACGAATATCAAAGAGAACATAATCCAGATTCTCTGTGTGGTAGCCATCTTTATGTGGCTTGTTTTTTATATTACCTTGAGCCTATTGCTTTAAACTGCAGCCTTCTAAGACTGAAACTGCACTGTGGCTGCTGGCTCTGCCCACTTCAGCTTCCCAACATGGCGGTGATACATTTTCCACCAGCTCTGGGAGCCATCAACTCTCAGAAATAGTGGGTCTATGCTTCTATCAAAGCAGCGTGCAGCCCAGAAACCTCTTTTTGTTTTGTACTAGCAAAGGCTAAATCCACAACACAGCTTAATGTGCCACTTGCAGAGGACTCATTGCCGCCATACTGCAGGTCACACACACACTCCAGGAACCCGCCATAGTAGACAGTAGCTCAAACACACAAGCTGCTGCTAACTTGAAAGAGACAACAAGGAACTGTTTATAGCTCTGTTTTAGAATCTTTTAACTCAGGTTTTAGGTGGAAACGCTTGCCAAGACATTGGGCGCCATTTGTAGCTAGAGTTTTCCTGCCTTGCCCACAGTCAGGATAATTCTCTGTCACCCTCCAGTCCCACAGCCACTCAGACCCAACCAAGTAAACACAGAGACTTATATTGCTTACAAACTGTATGGCCGTGGCAGGCTGCTTGCTAAATGTTCTTATATCTTAAATTAATCCATTTCCATAAATCTATACCTTGCCACGTGGCTCGTGGCTTACCAGCATCTTCACATGCTGCTTGTCATGGTGGCAGCTGGCAGTGACTCTCACTCAGCCTTCCACTTCCCACAAACAAACCTGGAGACAAGTATTGGAGTGAACGCTGGAAGATCAGAGAAGCAGAACAGGCCACATCTAACCTCACCTTGCCAAGTTCTCAGCTGATCCTGTTGCCTCAGACTGAAAGCCTCTGAGTCCTCATCTGAATGAAACTCAGCTGTACTGTTGCTCAAAAGCCTAAAAGCTTAACAAG